TCTGAAAATCTGGACTAGATTGTGGCTGTCGAGCACTTTTCAAAATCATGATTCCAGTGAGTCTAATTCTAAAAGCCAAGATTATCTCTCTTTCTTTCCATACATTCACATTCTGCAAGGGTCTCCAAGGCGACTCTTAGATTGAATCTGAGCCTATGAAAAATTGGTAGCAGCTGAAATCTGGGAGAGGGTTAACTGCCATAATGTTGGAGCCGTAGTAAAAACATAGGAGTAGGTCAAATTCACTCCATTCTGAAATTTCAGTTACCCCAGATGGCACAGCGATGGCTATTGCTTCCTTGAAAAGCAGCTGCAGCAGTCAACCTTAAATCAGGAGTCTCCATATACAGATTGACAGTAGAAGGCTAAAGTTTAGATTTATTTATTGGAAACAGCTGCAAAGAATGTGGTATTTGTGACTTTGCAGTGGTGATGATGAGCTTTGTGTTCAGGGGGACAGAGCAGAAAGAAAGGGATTGGGATGTTTGTTTTTGGGGGGACGTGATGAAAGAATAACTTTGCTATGGTTAACAGTGGAGTTAAAAAAAATGTAGCTGAAGTTTCTTACAAACCACAAGTGCTAAGTAAGAAAAAGGATATTTTTAGAGCAAGTAAACACAGAGAATGAACTGTTCCAGTAAGACTGAAAGATCTGCAGTTTACAATACTAATTTTTGCTTTACTGAACATATTTGTATTTAACTCATCTTTAAAATTAAATCTCTTAAGGAAAAGTGTAATATAACCTATAGGAACCTAATGTAAATCAAACTATTACTGATCTGTTACTTTCCATCTTTAACGCATTCATATTTTATAGGACTTAAAATAATGTCTTCAGTATTGAAAAGTCACCAACGTGAGCCTGTATTAGCCATTTTTCTCTATAAATATCCAGAAAATAAAGTTATATTTATTTTTTTAAATGGAGATACAGGACTAGCTCAATTTAAGGAATAAATGGTTTGAAGAGATAACTAAGAAAGTAATATAAAGAAGTCATTCTAGACAAAATAAATATTGTTGAAACTTCAAGTCCAGTATAGCGAACCCCAGGCTTTCAAAAATCTTTGTTGTTTTGTTTTTTTAATTTTCTTGTGTGTTCTGGATTTTTAAATCTATAGGATATCTTCGGCTCTTTTCTTTATAACCATGAGGGCTAGAAAAACTTATTTTTTTTAAAAATGAAAAAGAGTCTTATGACATAGCATGAATTGAGGCGCTGGAGCTTTAAGAAAAACACCAACTAGCATTAAGACTTGTGAGAGCAGGCAACACTGCAAGTTTTAGAATAACTGTTTTCTATAGCCACAGTCATATGGCCAAATCCTGCTTACCCTAGTCACACAGGGACAAAACCTCCGAGTTTCTTATTCCCTTTGAAGTACTTGGCCCACAAAACAGTTCCCCTGAAGTCACTATTTGCATGAATAAGGCAAGAAGCATTTGGCCTGTACAACAGAGTCATCCTCACCAATAATGCAAGAGCAGTGGTCTCTCATTCATTTCCATCATTTTCTTTCTGCATCTATTCATGCCTTTAGCATAACAGCTAATTTCTACCCTGTCCCGAATAACACGCCATTATTGATGTCCCACGATGACTCAAACCTCCGACAAGATCAAGGACAATGCTGCAATCTGAGGGTCACGTCTGAAGCTCCGCTCCCATCTCTTCCATATTTTTAGACCATGCTCTTCACCATTTGAATACTTGATTTTATTTCTTATGTTTTTCTCCCACTCCCCCCCAGTTTAAAAATGATTATGTACTTCATGTGTATTTGCTAAGCCACGTAAGTGAGTTCTGCATTTTGCTCTTAAAGAACTATGGCCCATAGCCACTCTTATTCATTGTAGAAGTGAGTTCTACAGTCGTGAGCCAGCAGCCAAGAAAGTCCAGTCCCCCATGCTCACAAGTCTCACCCTGCTGGTTTGACTCTATTAGTAACATCAAGTATTGGCTGTTCTAGTTTCCTTGCTGCTAATTATGGCCCCAAAACATCATTTTCTTTTATGCATATTTGGGCATCCTGTGTTCAATACAATCCCTTCTGCATTTACTTGCTAGAAGAAACATACACCACAATGGTTTTATGGAGTTTGTTTGATCTTCACACAGCATGCACACATACAAACCTCAGTCCTGTGTGTGTAATACATGGACATCTGCCTGCTAACTCCTGAGCAAGCTACCAAGATGAAAGGAAGCAGAGATAAGAAAAAACGAATCAAGTACAAAGGTTGTATATGAATTTATGCCCCCAGACTACTTGCATATCTGCCATATAGGGCAGAAAGGTGATTCCAGAATATAATCAGGACTTTCAATACACATTAACAAGAAGTGATTCACCAACACTCTCAAGAGTAGCTTGTTCACCATATTTATTTCTAGTCACTTATGTTGCTTCTATTTCCTATCTGGAAAAATCTGTGGTCATTCTTTCTGAAGGAACAAGTTAACATGAGCTTTACTGCCATTCAAGCCAGCTGAGAAAGTCTGGATTTTCCCCTTACATTTACTCTGTTCCTCTAAATACATTT